AACCTGCTGGAAGGACGAATATCCTTTAAAGATCTAAAATCAAAACGGTGCAGGGTGAGCTTCTTTGTTATCTCATTCTTCTTAGTTATCTCAATTTTGCATCAAAAACCTATTTGGTGATAAAACAATTTCCAAGGTCTGAACAGAGTATTTTCTTACGTGTACAGTGTGAAAAGGAGGTTCAAAAACGCCAAGGACAATCTGGCGGAAATATTAAAGAGGTAAATGCCAGTGTTGTGCACGAAAGTGGACTGCCTTCGTGAGAGGAATGCCATTGATGGCCATTTTTTATCCCCTCAAATTGAGGAAGAAATCATGCGGTTAAAGAGCAAAAATACAGACCTTCAAACAAATTACAGGAGGTAGATAGAAATTAGCATGATTGGAAATTCTGCCATACTTTCTCTGAATTTAATTGGAAGGCAAATAAAAACAGGAAAACTATCCCATTATCTAACTACTTTCTCATCATACGCCTATAAAGAAAACTCCATGCTACCTTTTTGGTAGCGGCACGATTAAATGTTTTGCAGAGACTCGCAATCTAATACTGTATTAGTAATAATAATAATAATAATAATAATAAAACTTACATAATGCCGATATCAATATTGCCAGTTTCATCAGACTGCATAAAGTACAACCCATACATATTTGTTCGTTCGATTTCTAGGCCAGTGGGAAGCGACACAAACAAGAAAAGGAGAGCATACAAACTTTAAAGGCCAATAAATTTCTTGAAGGAGAAAATGAAGAGGTGGAGTATAATTTGAAAGGGCAGAAATCGCTATGTTTATGCTTTGTTTTACGTAAAAAATGGAAATGGATAAAGCAATCATGTTTTTTGTTCCTTTACCAGTAGGAATTTCAACAGTATAAAAATGACGTAGAATCGCTGATAGACGAAAAAAATTTTCTTGGAGCAACTTTCTAAGCCATCAGAACCTTCACTAGCACTAGCGACATTTCAATGCCAAGTCCTCATGATTTATCTTTTTTTGTTAATTTTGTCATTACTATTATTTCGATATCTCTAACATTCAATCAGTGGGAGCTTTAAGAGAGTGAGAGCCCTATCGAAGCAAAAATTTAGCACAGACTGAAGTCATTTTAATCTGGAGTTGTTTGTTCCACCTGGTGAAGCTGCTCTCTTTTTTACAAAGCAGGTCATATCAGAAAAGCAAAGTTTGACCGAAAACAAGAAAAAACAAATTGACATGAGGATACAAATTTTGTGTATCATTAGAGAGATTAAAATAGGGGTTTGTACAAACACTGCACAAGGCAAAGCATGGTTAGAAGTAAGCAGTCACATGTTCGAGGTTTGCTGCATGTCATGCAGTTACGTTTGCACTTAATGTGGCCCGAAGACGTCTGGAAAGACTACTCCAATATGGCAGCTGAGGGGAAGTAGG